TCCTAGTACACCATTTTGCACTAGCTGTAGTATATTGTAGATGTTCATGACAGCAGTCAGAGACTTGCTATGGTTTAGAATGTGCCGTCACAATAGGTTTGTGAGTTCTCTTTATACCAGTAAAATGAAATACAGACAAGTCTAAAATATTCAATGATATATTGAATAAACAATGAGTAAGGTTACAAAGAATGACAGTACATATTTCTAATACAATGCTATGGAGTCACAAATCTAAAATATTAACTACGTGTCCATAGCTATCGAAGTCTCTTTTCTTATCGATGTTTTGATCGGAGATTGTTCACGGCAGTTGAGATGAGGTGAGCGGACGATGTTAGCAGTCAGTTGAGCAGTCATCAAATTCGTGTCGAACATATCCTTATATACCTATCGCACAGTTCTCGAGACTTCTAGAAGTATTATTATAGTGGATTATTAGTATTACGCCTCACTAAGGCCATTGAGATCACACTACGGTCATGTAGAATTCAGTCGAATGAATGCCAGAGTCTTACACCGGAAGCAGCATACCGGGAGCATAATAAAGAGGAGGTAACTCCCGAGCGTAGCTCTTCGGTCGACTCTCAACTATCGGACTTACATAGCCTAAGCAAGATATTAGTTCAAATCACAGTCAGCGGTTTACACTGACCCATAATAAGTTAATCAATGTGACATTTGAATAACAAAAACACACTCTCATAACAGACTCTACAGGGGACAGTCATGTAGCATGCGCATCGTTTGTTAGTCCCGAGTCTGTGTACTAATATTAGATTTTCATAACCAGACTCTGCTAATTCCTTGTAACTGTTTCAGGTGGTGATTACCTACGGCCTGACGCTAGAGGAGAATATATGGGTCTTGATAGAAATGCTGTCCAGCCTTCGAACATATACGAACACCTGACAACATACGAACAGATTTCAAATATGTGAAGTGTTGGAAGTTGCACTTTGTCTTTACATGTGTGTAAATCCTCACCTTTGTATGGAATACATTACAATAATTTTGAAAATAAACAAACCAAGCAGATATAACACCATATTGCGTAATATTCAAAATATTGTTAAACAAAGAATATGATTTATTGATCCATAACATGCACACTCATACAAATAGCAGTACACTGCGATTATAACCACTACATATGGTGTGTAGTATATTTTGTAGTTCTTGACCAGACACTCCAGTGATTAACACCATGAGCATCGATCTACTCCAACTACAACAACAACTACTACTACTACTACTACTGTAACGGGGATGGCTCTTTGACAACGACACAACTCCGTTGAGGCTGCAAGTTCCTTGTTTATTACAGTAGTTTGTATAAATAATACAAGTCTGAAACAATGTATATGAATATATAACACTCCATCAAAATACCTATTTTATCACATTCATTTCACTGTACATTGTTCAGATAATTAACAATCACAGCACTACCACTGAACATATAAAAAGAACTCAAAACAAATTGACATCACAAAATCAATGGTTCAGTTTCATATTAAGATCCTTAGAAATTATGGGCCACATTTGGCATCTTCAAAACAACAATGAAACATCAACGTGTCTTACCATCTATGGGACAACTTGTTTCAAACTGGCCACATGTTGTGAGGCACCAACAAAACACCAAGGACCTAAAATATGTATGTTTTAATTAGCATGGAAATGCTAATTCTCACCAGTAAAGTAAACGTACAATCTGTTTGGACTCAAACATTAATCTGAATCAATTGTAAGTGAAATTATTGACACCAACAATTTCTAACCATAGGTCAAAATATACCTCCACAAAATGCATAAATTCAGTTACAATAAATACTGAATTTACCTTTCAACAATTAAACATATTTTTGTAGTTTATTCCTTTTATATGAAACCAAGTGTAACTAACCAGTAATTCACCAAAGTCAAAATCCTCCATCCATGACTTTCATACCACCTTGCCAGGTTGGGAGAAAGACAGCAAGTGAACAAACTTCACGCTTTCCAAATGCAACTAACTTCAACACCCAATCAAGATGCTGCACATCTTCAGCCAATATAAACCAAGGACAAGACAGCAGACCTGACCTCATTAAGACTTGGCTAATTTGCATAGGAACTACTTTCAACCCTTGACCCAGTAGTGACTATAAATAAATCATGGACTTGTGAAAATGTAAACCTTTTCACTGACAATTGTATTAATGTTTAAAGTGTTATGAACTGATTCCAAACAGGAACATAAGACAAGACATATTAAAAAAGATTGCTTTTCCAGAACATTTTACTATTTGTATATTTTGTACTTGTTATACACTTGTATTTGTTACACACTTGTTTTGTACTTGTCACACTACTACTACTACTACTACTGCTGCTGCTGCTGCTGCTGCCATCGCACATCGATAGTCTTGTATTAAGGATACTGCAATACTGCAATACATATCGCATGTATTATACGGGCGACGACATATTTGTTTACACTCACGACAGAACTTGTACACTTATTTGTTTACTGTTTTAGATTGTTAAATTTTCGTTTTTATGCACAGAAACTTGAATTAAAGGATTGAAAACCTATGCTTGTAACCACACTATGCTTTTGCTCGTTTGATACCAAATCATTAACTCGTTTAATAAAAATAGTATTTCACGGAAGCGAGTTTAGTATTCTTTTTCTTACTCTCCAACATAAACAGATAGAAACAGCCTACAGTGGGATGACTCTCATATCAATTTTCCGAGTCAAGCAGGGTCTAATACCATTGTGACAGAGGCATTAGCATTGTGACGTCATAACTGTAACCATTATGACGTCATACGTCTAACGGTATTACACTAGTGTAATATTGATGAACATAGAGATTTTTTGTCTGGGTTACATCTTCTTTTTATTCTCGAGTACAACGTTTCAGGGCTTTACCTGATGATGAGGCCAGAACGAGCCCCGAAACGTTGTACTCGAGAATGAAAAGATGTAACCCAGGGAAAAAAAGGAAAGAGAAAGAAAAAAATCTCTAAAGTTCATCAAATATCATCTTCTAAAATGCCAATCAAGCATCTAGTGTAATATTGCCGTAAAAATATTACACTTCAGTATCTTCCACGGGTGAGTAATAAAGACGGTTATATCTATGGTCAGACCAATGAGCACGGACTGTTACTGCCAAATCTAAAATCTAATAAGACCGAATGGGGACTCTGAGGCTCCCGATCATATGAACATCTATGGGGCGCAAGCAAGGGAGATTTTCAAAGTTCAAGCACGTTCAAGACAAAAGTTCAAGGCAAGCACGTTCACTCACAATCAGTTCCAATGCGTGTGGCAGTGGGCGAATGATGTCTAGGCTATTGAGATCTATCATGAAGAGTCAAGACAAGAGTGGTATCGCCAGCAAGAAAATACAGGTAGGATAATACCTATTCACTTCAAATAGTGTTGACACCAGATCGTGATACAAAGTTATTCCTAAGTGCCTTGGAAAGTTTACACCACCCCGAAAATATCTGAGGTGAACAAATACGTTATAAATGGCTGAAATTGAGCTTCAGAAGCAATTTGAGTGAGTTAAAATATAACGTCACCTCGGCATTATTTCAGCCATCTCGTGACGAGAAAGGTTTTACATACACAACAAATGTAAGTCATCGAAGGACTGTAAAATAACTACTGGCTGGCGACCAGTTATCGCCGCGTAACAGTTACCGCCACTTCCTCTTTATAGCGCAGGCGCACATCTATTCGTGTCAATTTCGTTGTTTTTCCGAATGGCATTTTCCGAACGATCTTGAATATCCAAAAATATTTCCATGGTAAGTGAAGCAAAATTTGTTTTTCTCTAAAATTTTAATAGCGTGGTGTGGGGGATGTCACTTGATCCACATAGTGGGGTGTAACTTTCATAAAAAATCCTAAAAAGTTAGACCGACAAATAAACCTGTGTTTTTAATTCCAAAGCAATATTTCTTATAGTTTTTTATTGAATTTCACATAAAAAAATGTGTCATGTTTTGGTAAATAACATGAACAATTCGGAAGTGGCGATAACTGATCCTGTTAGTTGTTGGGAAAGCACAATATGTACTACCGCGCTTCCTGTTGACCGCGTTATAGAAAAACACGATCGGCAACTGTAAACAAGCAGGATCCATCGGTGAATAGCTAATCCTTCATCTCGAGAACTTTTAATTCATTAGGTTGAGAATCTACTGAGGAAATCGCGAAAAAACGCTGAAAAATGGCGGTAACTGTTCGCCAGCCAGTAGAGTATCACAGATGGTGTCTAAAACTTGCATGGAAATCTAAAACTAGTTTATTTGCGAAGACAATACAATATAAAAACAAGCTATAGGTCACCAGCAAATGAATGTAGATCACCACACTAGGGACCACGGGGACTTACAGTGCTTTTGCTACCTGCATGGACCGTGTGGGAAAGTGTAGCTGGCAGTTAAAATTAACAAAAATACTACGTTTATAAATCTGGTAAGTTAACGTTTACTTTGAAAGTTTTGGGACTTACGTAGCCTCTCAGGTTCTTCAGAACATGAAACCATGAATAGTATCACCTCTGCTAAATCAAGCTGATTGCCAGCTGTTCTATCTAGTGTGCACATGGCTGTCCATGTCTTACTAAATTAAGTCTCTTCTCAAGGTAGGGTTGCTGCATGTATCAAGTTGAAGGAAGAAACAATAGACAATTATTCTCCTGGATCGCTTGTTTGGGGAAATATATATTACGTTATGGGGAAAACAGTCACATATTTGTTTGCTAAACAACGTTTTCATAATGGGTTATTTTTATTTTTATTTTTAAACAAGATATTTTAATCTTTCACTTTTTCGTCGAAATTAATAATGTAGATGGAGCCTGGTACTCGGGACATTTTTAGAATCAGCCTTGTACTTGTCACGGTTGAACCCGTGAACATCCGGGTTAGAATCGGTTTTCCGTGCTTGTCGTAAGTAGGGGACGTACGGGATCGTGTGATCTGGCTGGTTGACTAAGTTGCCGCATGTCATCGTAATTGCGTACATTCGATGCTTATGATGTTGATTACTTGATTGTTTGGTTAAGATTCTATTCTGTACAAACTCGGTTACAGCTGGACTATTGCTGAGTGTGGCGTTAAACAACAACCAAACCAACAAACCAGTGCAGGATGAGCTGTGTGCCAGGAGTTACACTGACAATGTTATAAAGTAGCACAAAGGTGACTGCACGTAACGACAATGAAGGAACAGAAACAAGGAAAAGAAAACGTCATGAACACGTTTATCTGGCCGTGATATGGGCTAGTGAACACTGATACCGCACAGTACAAAGTTGTGAAAACAGTCAACACCACGCTAAATACGACTGCTATCGATGAAGCTAGATCACAAAGTAAGTGCCAAATATTCAAATAAGCATGTAAGCACGCACGCAAGCACGCACGTAGTCACCCTCAACGCACACACAAGGTATTTTCACACAAACCTTACCTATGTAACACTCATACAAACGTTGATATAGTTTTCTATGTTTACAGGTGATGCATCCAATCATCCTGAAGGGCTTTGTCTTCATGATACACACCATCTATACAATTAACCTGGCACAGAGTGGTAAGTGTCTGAAAGTGTCTGTGAGATTCGCTATATTTAATACCACTGCCCCTTCATTGTCTTCAGACTGTAATATTGCTGAGAGCGGCGTTAAACATACCAACAAACACATGCTCACAGTATAGAAGGAACTGTACAGTCGACTCTTAGCAGAGATGTCTTACGAATGTGAAAGGGTTTTGTCGCCCATACTTGTATGATGTACTGTATTCAGTAGAAAGGCCACAGGCCCATGTACAATATATAATACTATACAAAAGGAATGATATGCATAATAACTAGAACATATCTGCATACGTTTACAATAATAATGCGCTACGTCCCATTAACGCTTCCTTGATATAATTAGCATACATACATAAGTAATTACTATTTTCATTTTGAAGAAGGCGTATGAGAGAATTGCTATCTTTACAGTCAACATATTACATATATTTTGTTCTTAAATCATTATATAGTGGCCAGATAAACCTAAATGAACCTCATCTTTTAAAATGTTATTACAACATGGACACAATCTCAATTCTATCTTACCTTCTTTTTTAACATAATATAGAATTGTTTTGGATATCTAGTTTTTTCGATAATTATTAATATACACCTATACTTAACGCATCTTATTATAGAATCACAACAAATATAATGACGACTGCATTCAGAAAAAAACAGCTCCATTTGTTGTATTAATACCGAAACCAGTAAAATATTTACAGTATTTTACATGCAAACTTTCTAGCATTATCCACTCATGAAACCCTCATATTTCTGAGCAATATACTGAGATAGGCTTAATTTGTCTATCAAACATCTGAAATAAGACAGTGGGAGAATGATACTTTTAAAATTATGATGAAGCTGTTTAATTGGAAGAAGGGCTATACTTAACGCATTAGCTTTATGAACGAGAGTCTGGACTACTTTTGACCAAGATAATCTGCTGAAAATAAAATACCCAAATAGCTGTAATAGCTTGTAGTTTTCAACTTCACATAGATAAACATCCATATTTCGTCAATTAAAATGTATCCAACCTTTTTAATCGTAGAATGTGTGCCTTTTTAATGCATGGCTAGGTGTGTCTAAATTGCAGTTGAAGTTGAAGGGATGGTGTAAATCCAGCTAGGGTCCATGCAGGAAGCAAATGTCCTGTAAGTCCCGATGGTCCCGGGTATGGTGATCTACCTTCAGTTGTTGGCAGTCTATAGCCTGTTTTTACATTGTCTTGTTATTTCTAGTTAAAGTGTTTTAGATTTAATTACTAGTTTAAAATGGATATCTGTGATATACTAGTGGTTTTACTGTTCTTCGTCAACAGGCTTTTAATTTCTAATTTTACTGATATATGATATAACAATTAATTGTTCTCGTCACGATACGGCTGAAATATTGCCGGTGTGACGATAAATAATAACCCACTCACTCACTCACTCATTCATTTTTTGGCGTACTGTGTTTGCGGCTGTATCGTGGACAGAGATGGTCTGAACGCGAGCCTGTACCAATGTTATACAGTCATGTAAACCGTACAAATGTTTTCGTTTTGTTTTGTCTCAGGCACAGCTCAAGTAAATTGTCCTGACATAGCATTTTTCGATGACTCTGTCCGAATTACCTGTTCCACGTCTGTCAACTTCACTAATATCATTTACACCTGCCCGTGTGGACCAGGACCACAGTGTTCCCCGTCATTCTGCACCAATCTAACTGGCTATAATACTAGCATCGTCAGCAGAACTCAGACAGAGCTTACAATACACAGTGCACAGCCACGCCATGCAGGGAACTGGTCATGTTCTGATGGAGGAGATGAAGGGAAATCCTTTTGTAATCTCATCCTCACAAGTAAGTAGAATTTGTGTGGCGTGTGAACTAAGCAAAGTAGTAGCAACTATTATGAGCAACAGCATCCAGTGAATCACATTAAATATCTACACAGACTGTGGGCAATTTACAAAATAGGATGATATTGATTATCTTACCTTCATGTAAAATACTTTAATTTCATTGGTCAATGACGCTTTAACAATTTTCCGTGTCACCCCTCCCAGGAGGGTGACAACTGGAAAACAATATTTCCCGCTGCCAAGCGCTTAAGCGCTAACAATCGTATGACGTCATAATATGACGCATCCCGTGCCCAGAGTTCGAAAACCGTTCGATCAGCTGTTTTTGCGTTAACTTTGTGCAGATTTATTTTACCGACTTTCACTGCTTTATTTAAGCTATGTTATACATTGAGTGGTTTGCACACTCAACTTAAACACAATTAACCATTTTTATAGCAGTTTTAAGCTTGTAAGAATATGTTTCACTGATTTTAAAAATCCAGTCGAGACGCAGACGCGATCAGTCGCGCTATTTAACATAAAATAAGATGATATTTTGTACATTTAACATCGGGGTAAGATGAATACGTTGTATGCTTTTTCCACGGGTAATACGGTCTGATGTACGCCTTTTTGTAGCAGTGTCATCCCTCGCCTGCCGGCTCGGGTGACACTGCAACAAAGAGGCATACATCAGACCGTATTACCCTCGAGAGAAGCATACTTATATCATCTAGATTTGATTTATTCTACTCGTATCCGGCATGTCACAATAAGACCATTGACATTTGTGATGCACAAGTAGGATATTGAAGTGTTTGTAGAATTCCTTGACAAATCATTTGATATAGTTATGAAATCTTTAATGTTTTAGAGATTCCCACGGTCAATATATCCAGTGACGTGGATGTTGATTGTGTGAATCTGGGTAACCGAATAACCCTCACAGTGGACATTGGAGGCTACTACTGCTCTGGGGCCTTACGCCTAACACTACAGGTTGGGAGTGTCAACTATACACTTGGGTCTGGTAGGAACAATACCAACATGACCCTGACCGACACCATACCCATTAATGTGACACAAACACACTTCGGGGACTTGACGCTTGTCTTTGCCTGTGACAACCATCAGTGGAAAATTACACCTGAAGGTTTACAAGAGCTACAGCCAAACAGTAAGTATTATTCGTGGCATGTTTTACATATCTGTCAAATATCATACATGTTTTAGAGGCGGTGGGGTAGCCTTGTGGTTGAAACGTTCGCCTATCCCCAGCCGGGTTCGATCCCCACATAGGTACAATGTGTGAAGCCCATTTTAGTGTCTCCTGCTGGAATATTGCTAAAACGGCGTAAAAGCATACTCACTCACTCACTCACTCTTGACGGTCCAAAGGGCAGGTATATAGTACATGCTCATCCATGAAATATATGATGAAGGGCTGATGAAAACATGCAATCATTAACAAGACGAGTGGACTCCTACGTTGCTATTGCCACCAAATGTGCCCTGCTCAAAAGAGTGCGCCATAACATACTTGATCGTGTTCGATAGGCGCATTAGAGAGAAAAATACTCTCAATGCCGTGTTCAAGCACAGGCAAAACGTTGATGAACCTCCAACAATCCAATAGAGAATGCCAACGTCGACGAAATGGCAGATGACACCTTACATATACACATGTAATTGTCAGAGCGAATATCTTGTAAGAGTGATGATTTGATATATAGTCCATCTTCATAACTCACATCATCAGACTCACATCATCCAACATATTTGCCAACACATTTTGTTGCCATTGAACATGCAAAATAATAACTGACTGTTTTGAAAAGAGCTCAATGTATTCTCTTACAGGAAGTAATGCACCAACCACTCTTTCCCCAGGAACTACTGCTACAGGAAGTACGCCGCCGTCATCGGACGCTTCAACTCTGTTGATAATTGCAGTAGGAGCTTCTTCAGGTGTTATTATCGTCATAATCATCACTGTCATCTGCTGCTTCTGTCGCTGTAAGAAACAAGCAAATACAGATGTGAAACACCCTTCTAACCAACCTTCTGAACCTCCCAATGTGTCTGTTGGAGGATTATCCTGTGGGGGTTATTCCGAAGTTATTATTGGATATCACCACGAAAGGAAGTGTAGCAAGCAGCAAGGCAACTCACAGAGCTGTGCCTCCAAGTGTATGGGCGTAGCACTGAACGATCCTGTCCATGATAGCAACGGGAAGGAGGAATCAACATATGACAGACTGTACATGAGCTAAACTCATAAACCATAGCAGAATGTACACGTTACCCTGCAGTGAGATACACACATTAGCATAGTTAGTGATCTAACAAGTTATGTAACAAGAGCAACTAAATACAATCTGAATTTGTGTAGTCTAATGTGTGTAACATGTTCATGACCTTCGTGCTTTGTTTATACCTTTAACATTTAGGCTCATGTTTAAAAAGACAAGAGCTTATATGTTGTTCAGGATAGGGTCACACTTTAACTGCAGCAAAAACATTTTCTATGTTAACAATTGCTAAATATTTTCACGGGAACTGTCACAATACGGAACTTTTGATTTCGGTTTCATTTGTTGTTGTTTTGCTTACTTTCGTTTGTTCAAGCAGATTCACTTAGCTACATTTGCATTCGCTTGTCGCATGATCACCGGATGTATTTACGTATGCACGACAGGCTTTTAGCTCACGCTACCAAGAATATCCAGCCCATTCAATCACTCACCACATGTGCTTTGAAGTCAGTTGCAATCTTAATGCTGTAGTTATATGTTCATTTCTTGCGTGTGTTTACATAACTTAGTTCTTATTTACGCCAACATACTGTCGTGTGTGTGTGTGTGTATATATATATGTATATACCTACACGCACATACTGTATATGTATATATATATATATATACAATGTTTACTGACTCCGCATTTTTCATGCCATTGAAGTAGGTTCAAATGAGTATGTTTTTGAAAAACACTTATAAATATGGAGAATGTATTTCAGGTGAAAAACACTGAGATGGTGATGTGATAGTCACTTTAAGCATTGGACAAATCTCATAGTAAACGTCTGTCCTATGAACTGAATCTTAAAGCAGTAGTTTGGTAATGTGTTCGTCAGAAGAGATGTGAAACAGCGCTAGCATGAAGCTTTTGTCACGTTTATTCACTGGTTCCAGTTACCCTACATATGTTCCAATAATACAGTTGCCAGCTCGAATTGTGAACTACCGTGATTCACATAAACATTCAAATATTTCGACTTCCTTAAAGATTTCTCACTTTTGTCGCCTGTTTGGTGAACGTGTATATGCTTTTGAAAAATAAAACTCAATTAAAACTCTGAATGTTGTTGAGAAGAGATGTCGGTTGATACACGGTGTCTGGTTAAAGTCGTTGATTAGACTCAACCAGTTGTGAAAGATTGGGCAGATGCTGTATACCTGACCAACCACGTCAGGGAATCCCACATAAAAAGTGTCTTGGATCTGACAGGTGCGCATCCGATTGTTATTTGGAAGGAGTGAGATGCACGTTTTGGATAACTGTCATGTATTCACATATCTAACTATTCCTTCAGAGCAGATGTGCACTCAGAAAAAAGCAAAACGTTGAAAAGGTCCATGCTTGAATTCTTCGCGTTCAATCTAGAAGAGATCGTGAATCAAGCACCTTTTATTTAATCACAATCTATATTCTCTAACCATCAAGGCTCACGGAAATGTGTGAAAATACCGTGAAACCTATCTAACAACGCCCAAGACATAGTCCGAAATTTCATGTGGGGTGAGATATCATCACGTGGAGTGACGCCGTTGTGTATTTTCGACGAAGGAAACGACATGTTGACATCTTAAAGGGTAACCTCCTTCCAACGGATCGAACACTGTATGAAGATAACTAACTGATTTTTCAGCAGTATAACGGCCCAAAAAACACTGCGTGCTACACAAAACCAATGGTTGTCTATGGGATCAGAGAGAGGTGTATCCGGCCCAGTTTTAGAGTGGCCCAGCTACAGGCGAAAGATGATATGTTAGTGTGGGAACTAAGGAAGGCCAGAATTAACCAAATCTGACTTAGAAATATTAAGTTTATGAAGGAAAAAGTGGTCGAATATTGGGATTCGCTGGAATATGATGTCCTAAAAAACTTTGATCTGTAATGTACCTAGTCGCTTTCAGTCGGATGAATGACAAGTCTTTATCAGCTTCTTTATGGCATAATAGCGACGTTTCGGTATAGGTACTTGTACAGTTTTCAAGCATCAAGCTTGCAACTTATAGAATGCCTCTCGAACAATGCATTCAGTCGTGTATTGAAGGGCAAGGAGGTCTCACAAAGTACTGAAAGGACACTTAGACTGTAAGAGAATCATATCTCAGCATGTTCATTTAAGTAAAACTTCTATAGTTTATATACACGTATTAGATATTGCCGAAACAATTTCCTCAATAAATTCTGGGAATACTACATGATATCCACAGTAAACTGAAATAACAATATAATGCTTAGATACCACATAAGAACAGATTGATATCAATTATGCAAAAAGGTGAAATTACGGAGAGGGAAATGAATTCCTAGTTCATGTTGTTGAAGGTATTCATTACATTCTTTTTGCACTTCTTTTGAAGTTAGAAAGTTGTAATTTGATACATTCTTTTGAAACATTGTATGATGTAACACTGACCTAAATGCCTTAATGAACAGTTGATATATAGACTGAATTACAGAAGCATTAGTATTCATAAATGAATAAAACCCAGTTTAAACTGCTGTCACGTAACCCCGCAGCATAGGTTATACTATTTAACCCATGTACTGTTGGAGACCCTGTGCAAACTGAATAACATATTTTACAACTGAATTCAACAATCCCACGGAAAACGGAACGAGGTAAATATAACCCGTGTTCAATGCAAGAGATTATATAGCTAGTTGGTATTGAATTATTCCTTTGACTCTGAAATGATCATGAAATCTGTTTATAAATAACATTACTCGTTACAATAAATCGCAAACATTTTCCTGTTAGTTTAAATGTTGCTGGAACGAGAGGAACATTTTTAATGAACTTGATTAATAATGAATGGAAGTAAATGACATTTCAAATTGTTGAAGCGAAAGGTTATCATAAAATGTGTATGAACATTTAATGACCATACCCAACCAATTCTCAATAAATACTTGATCGTATAGTTATAATAGGTACAATGCGAGATAAAACAAAGGTGGTGTTGAAATAAATATAATTTATTTCAAAACAAAATGAAATGGAAAATCAAGAAAAGTTCAAATATTCAGCTTGCACACCCCTTTCTCACCTCAAATACATTCATCCAAACATCTCAGTCATATATCACTCAAATACACCTTCAGTACATCACTCAAATACACACTCAGTACTCCATTACACCAGCGGTACCCAATACACTCATACTCCTATACACAATACACAAATCAAATATAGGCATACAAATGAAACATTTACAAAAATGTAATATTCCAGTCCATATCTATTTGACGATCGGCTCCTATACAGGAGGTTGCACAGATTAATGGTATGTACAGTTCACGTCCTCACGAACACGGTCACACCCTGTCTGACGATACCCTGAGGCTACCCTGCCCTCCATACTTGTCACTGGACAACGTCCGGTCACAACACTGGTGAGAGGCACTGGTGAGAGGCATCGCTTAGCTGGTCAGCATACTTGGAGTTGACCCGCCACACTCAACCGGCAATACCTTGAGGCTACCCTGCCCTCCATACTTGGCACTGGACAACGTCCGGTCACAACACTGGTGAGAGGCATCACTTCGCTGGTCAGCATACTTGGTGTTGACCCGCCACACTCAACTAGCCAGCACACAGGCCGTCAAGCCAATACGGCCCCGACAGCCATGATAATTTTCCTGGCTCAGCTTTCACACCGTCGCTCCGCTCTATCATATCACGACTGCACCCGTCACATCAAACCGTCCACTTTTATGACTAAGTCGCAGAAACTGCCTGCTTTTCACGTGCAATCTCACTTCGCACACAGCCCAACTGCACGTACACTCACTCAACCGACACATACAGTTCAACCACACTATAAGAAACATCCAACGTATATACAGCTCAACCACATGTGATCTTGACACACCTCCCATCCTTGATAATTATTTGCAAAATAATTATATACACTAGGACAGATCACATTGGAGTTTTGAATACAGGAAAATAAACTCACGGTGGACACCGGCTCATGAGATCGGCCCCGACATTCTCCACACCCTTCACCGCTCTGATACAGAATCTGTACGGCTGCAAAGCTAAGGCCCACCTCATAACTCGCCCGTTTGCCAACTTAGCCTTGGTCATCCACACTAGAGGCTGGTGATCTGTCTCTAACAGAAATTCCCTCCCATACAAAACCGGCTCAATTTCTGTACACCCCACACAATAGCCAAACACTCTTTCTCAATGGTAGAATATGCCTTCTCTCGGTCCAGCAACTTCCGACTGACATACATAATGGGAAACTTCTCACCCTCATGTTCTTGTAATAGCACTGCTCCAATGCCAACATCTGATGCATCTGTCCGCAACAGAAATGTCTTTTCCAAATCCGGCAACTTTAGAATTGGTGCACTTGCCATGAGCTTCTTCAACGTCTGGAATGCCTGTTCCTGACTATCAGTCCAAACAACAACATTAGGCTTACCCTTCTTTGTCAAATCTGTCAGTGGAACTGCAATGGCTGCAAAGTTTGGAATAAACCGCCTGTAGTAACCAGTTAAACCAATCAAAGATCTCACCTGTTTCTTTGTGGTTGGTCGTGACAATTCCAAGATTGCTGCTAACTTCTTACTGTCAGGAGAAATATTACCTTGACCGACAATATGTCCCAGGAATGGTATAGTATGGTACCCAATCATCACTTTTGAGGGTCTGGCAGTGATATTGTACTGACGTAAACGACTGAAAATAGCTCTCAGACTTACCATGTGATCTGCCCATCTATCAGTTCCTTCAATCACATCATCAATGTAACTGTCTACATGATCTACCCCTCTAAGGATTTTCCTCATTAACCTTGTGAAGACTGCTGAAGCATTAACCATACCAAACGGCATAACTGTCCACTGATATAGCCCATCTGGAGTGATAAACGCTGTATATGCCTTACTTTCCTCCTCCATCGGAATCTGCCAATAAGCTTTACTGATATCAAACTTAGACAGATACTGACACTTACTAAGCCTTGCAAAGAGACTTTCTGCCAAAGTGACTGGTTCTGAATCAAAAACCGTGATACGATTAATGGCTCTGTAATCTGAACAAAATCTGTAACTACCATCTGGTTTCTTCACTAGCACAATTGAGAAGCATAAGGTGAATCTGAAGGTTCAATAACACCTAAGTCCAACATAGTCTGTATCTCTGCTGCAACGGTCTCTCTCATATGATGAGGTATTGGATAAGGACGTGACCTAACTGGATCTGAAGAAGTCAACCTGACCTTATATTCCATACAGTTGGTCCTCCCCGGCAAATCTGTCAAAACATCTGAAAATTCTGCCAACAACTCCCTAACGTCTGTCTTCTGCACATCCGACAAATCTTGAGAAATGTTCACATCAAGATAAGTTTCCTTAGCCTTCAAAGGTGGAGAAACAATCTCAGGCAAATCCCCTTCTACATCTGACTCCACATTGTCATCTCCCACATCAACAATGCCTGTACAAACATACTGTGGTAAACTCACACTCACATCACTGACCACTGTACTACAGCTACTAGATTCCCTGTCAATATACTTCTTGAGTAGTTAGCATGATAAGTCTTCAACTTATCCCCAACTCTAACGCGATAATTGTCAGAACCAAAACTCTCCTCTATCACAAAAGGACCTTTCCATTGTAACAATAACTTGTTGTGATTGGTAGGTAACAGAATTAACACCTTATCACCCGCTTTCATCTGGCGTACCTTCACCTTGCGATTGAAATGCTTCCTGTACCTGCCTGATGCCTTAACCAAAGATTGATGAGCTACCCCAATTGTCTCCTCTAACCTATTCTGTAAGTCCAACACATACTCATAGGTTGTCCTAGTCTCTGGATCTGGAATATCTTTTGTCCACAATTCCCTCAACACCTGAACAGGCCCTCTCACTTTCCTGCCATACAACAACTCGAATGGAGAAAATCCTAGACTTTCCTGAGGTACTTCCCTGTAAGCAAAAAGCAAAGCTGATAAATAACGATCCCAATCAGTTGGTTTCTCAGCACTTAGCCGCTTTAACATCAACTTCAGAGTGCCATTAAACCTCTCAACTAACCCATTACACA